AGCGGCGCCGCAGCCCGGGCTCCCGGGCCGGCATGAGGACGGCCGCCGGGGGACGAGTGCGGCCCGCGGGGCCGTAGCCTGCGTCGCGCCGGGGACAAAGGTGCGTGTCTTTGTGGGGACCGGGCTCTCGTGTCCGCCTTGCTGTAGTTTGACACTTTGAGGGAAGTTGAGCGCAGGCTGTTGTGACAACAGGAAGGCAGGTGCCGGGCGCGGTCTCGATACGTTAAAACTAAGCCACTGAATGGGAACTGTAATCGGCGGTTCAGCACAGCGCCTGCCCAAGTGTCCGCACACCAGGGAGGGAACAAAATTTAGAAGGTCCCAATGCCAGTTGCAGACTCCAGGGAGTCCGAGGGAAGAGTTAACTTAGAACCGGACTGATCTTGGGTCGTCTCCTGCTTGAAAAGGTGGCGGGTCCGCACGCGTCTCCCATAGGCGTTTTGTTATGCGGAGACTTGGGTTGTAAGGGGCTTTTAGCGAACTAGGTCGTTGGAAGCCTGGTTTTTCTTGGGCGTTCAGTTTCCCTAAAGCACCGTCCGTTAGTTTCAGGAACTGTCATTGACTGTTTTGTGTTTTTTAAAGACAAACTGATCATTTAAAGCATGTTTAAGATTCCAAAAAATAATTTAGTGAAATTAAACACACATTCCTAATTTAAAAACTTTTATTTTTTGAGGACTTTGAAGGGTATTTTAATGACTTGGTAAAAATATGTAAATCCTAAATTGACATCGCACTGGGCTACAGGCATTCCCGTTAGTCAGGAACATGGCAAAGAATATATTGTCTAATATTATTCTGGAAGTTCTAGCCAATGTAATAAGACGTGAAACAAAAATAAGAAAAATAATTTTTCAGAAAGAAGGCAAAATTCTCATTTCTGTGGATGAAAGGTCAGCCTATTTTGAAAAAAAGTTAAGGGAAAACCGTTAAAATAAGAGTTCACTTGTAAAGAAACTAATTGTAAAATCAGTATACAAAATTCTCTTTTTCTTTGTTTCACCAATAATCCGTTTGAAAATATAGTAGTTAAGATGTTGTGTAACAAAAATATACAATTCCGGGGAATAACCTCTGAGATACAAAAGGAGGCTAGCATTTCTTGGATAACATCAGTTGAGTTTTTTAAGAGGGGTGTTTTTGTGTGTAGAATACTGTGCTTTTACTTCGAATAATGTTCAACTCATTAAAGTTGAGTATTTAAATACTTAGCTTTTCTTAAGCTTTTTAAATTTTACTCACAAATCTTGTTTTATTTACAAATCTAAGAATGTTTATATAAATAAAAATACTTGGTCTTTGACAAAGCTTCGATTAAGGCGTCAGTTTAACAGATTAAATTTCTCTAAACAGTGAACTCGCTTTACAAAGTTAAATTCCCTTAAGTGTTTTAAACTGCATTTAAAGTTTTATATGCTTTTTCTCTCAAATACTTCAAACTTATAGAACGGTGAACTTATAAAGCTAGTAGTAAAGTCTTTCCAAGGACTTAACTCTTGTAAGGCTAATGTGTGAATGTAAGGTTCTTTTAAACGCACACTTTCAAAGTTATATTTTCTTAAGGATTTCAAATTAAAATTGTAAGTCTAAGTCATTCATTCATATGTTTTTGTTTTTTCTTTTTTTTGTGAGGAGATCAGCCCTGAGCTAACATTTGATGCCAATCCTCCTCTTTTTTTGCTGAGGAAGACTGGCCCTGGGCTAACATCCGTGCCCATCTTCCTCCACTTTATATGGGACGCCGCCACAGCATGGCCCACCAAGCAGTGTGTCGGTGCGCGCCCGGGATCTGAGCCGGCGAACCCCGGACTGCTGCAGCAAAGCGTGCGCACTTAACCGCTTGCGCCACCGGGCTGGCCACCATTCATATGTTTGATTCTCTTAAATATTGCAAATGATTTAGTAACAAGTGACGGCAATTATCATGATGATTATAAAACTTAATCCAAGATCTAAGTGTTAATATGCTGTAGGTTTGATTCTGTAGTCTTATTTCTATAACTTCTCAGGCCGGCAAAGTCACCTCCACAACTAAGAGAAGCAGATTTACCATATAGGTTTGAAGTTAAAATGTCTAAAATTTGGGCCAAGATAAGGTTACATTTTTATTTTATTTATTTTTTTAAACAGTTATTTTAATTTTATTTATTTATTTTTTTTCCCCCAAAGCCCCAGTAGATAATTGTATGTCATACCTGCACATCCTTCTAGTTGCTGTATGTGGGACTTGGCCTCAGCATGGCCAGAGAAGCGGTGCGTCGGTGCGCGCCCGGGATCCGAACCCGGGCCGCCAGTAGCGGAGCGCACGCGCTTAACCGCTAAGCCACGGGGCCGGCCCTAAGGTTACATTTTTAAATTACTGCCCAGACAGGGGCAGGGACCTGGTTGCCGCTTCCAGGATGACCTTCCTGTATCCCATCGGTTAACTTGCAGATTCTCTTACAGTGAGACTGTGCCTGCTCTCATCAGTGGGGGACTTGCAGCTTGCAGCTGGGACTTATTTTCATAACCCAGTGCATCAGGAATGTCCTGGGGGCCTTGAAAGTTTCTTTTAGGGGAATTTCTTTTAACATTTTAATGCATGATGGTCTTTTGTGCCACCAACCTGTTTTGCTGCTAATCACTTTGCTGTCTAATTAGAATTATTTTAACTCTTCATTTTTAGATATTTTATTCCCTTATCTGATCTTAAAGATTAAAATTTTATGATCATAATAGAATGAATATTGCATATATACAGATATACATATATTTGGATGTATATGATATATGTAAAATCTTCCTGAATTAATTCATATTTATGATTCATTTACAATCAAAATGCAGTGAGGTTTTTTGGGGGAACTTGTCAAAGTGATTCTAAAATTGATCTGAAATGATAAACAGGTTGGAAGAGCCAAGTATTACTTTTAAAAGAAGAAGAAAGATGAATTTTTAATTCAAGATGTTAAAATATAAAATTTGTCAAAACAATATGGTACTGGTTGAGGAATCTCTAGATACTAGATTAATATAACAGGATAGATTTCAGAAATAGATCTTAAGATATCTAAGACATTACGTATGATATATGCCAAATCAGCAGGGAAAAGAAGGATTATTAGTGATTGATGCTGGGAAAAACCAAGTTAGAGCCTCATCTCTCACCTTATAGCAGAGCAAATTCAACTTGGGTTAAAGAGTTCAATGTGAAAAATATATCTATAAAAGGCTGGATAGGTAAATTCTTACACAAGAATTACCTGGCTGGAGAAGGACATTCTAGGCATAAAAGCAACGGGAGAAACCATAAGGGAGAAGAGGCTAATTTTAACTGCATAAAAAGTTAAAATTTCTTTCATCATACCTTGCTTTAAGCAAAATTAAGCAGTAGGTAATGAAGCAGGAAAAAGTACTTATAAAAGATATGGTAGGCGTTATACATTTCTAATATACGTTACACATCTATAACACGTCAAAAGCCCTTATAAATCAACAAAAAGTTGCAGTTTTTTCAACTATTCCCTTAATGCTGGATATTCAGGTTACTCCTATCATTTTCCTATACAAACAAGGCTGCAATGAATGTCCTTATTTATCGATGTGGTAGAAAGTTCACACTAGAATATGAGTTTAAAAAAGCAGGACACAAAATTATACATGAAGCAAATATATATATATAGCATATATTTGCATATTTGTAGTCTGTAAATACTTGGAATTCTGGAGTTCACAATGTACTTTGAGCATGCCCAAGCAACTCGGAAGGTCTTTGGCATGTGATAATTTGTCACTTTGCTGAGGCCGAAGTTTGGGGGGTGAGAGGCTGCTGTGTTAGGAAGTGAGCTAGCCACACCACTCCTGAGACGCTGGTTTTTTACTTATCCCAGGGTAGGCAGTACCTTCTGTGAGCTGATGAAAACTCTGTCATTGCCCTGAATGAAATTAAACTGCTGGTGATGAAAATAACGAGGTCTTAAGAAAGAGGTTATTCTCAGCCAGAAAAAAAAATATTGGATAAATTAAATGAAAAATAGTATTCTCTAGGATTCTTTGCAATTGTAAGGATTCTTTAAGAGTCTGTCTGTATGAGTTCTCTAATGTCAAGAATCTAGTGAATATGCATAGAAAAAGACTGGAAGAAAGTATGCTAAACTGTGGTTATCTCTGAATGATAGGATTTGGGGTGCTTTTCATATATATATGTGTGTATATATATATGTGTGTGTATATATATACATGGAAAATTTTCTGTTTAAGATGACTAGTATTTAAGCAGGAAAAAAGCAGTAAATGGTAATTAAGATAAATTTAACAATGGATTCTTCTTGACAATGAAATTCTTTTAAACTTAAATCTGTATAACTGAAGAGGAAAAATCATTTTTATTATTTTGGTTTGACCTGGCCCTTCTTTTCAATGTTAACAGAAGCCATGCAGTGACACCGCTAAGACTTGTTGGTAGCCATGTCGGAGCCCCACAGGGTCCAGTTCACCTCTCTCCCAGGTTCTCTGAATCCCACATTTTTGAAGAAATCCCGGAAAGAGGAGGTTGGGGGAGCAGAACAGCCTCAAGACTCTGAGCCGGCTGCAGCAGCTGTTCGGATTACACTCACCCTCTTTGAGCCAGATCACAAGCGCTGCCCAGAGTTCTTCTACCCAGAGCTGGTGAAGAACATACGAGGGAAGGTGAAAGGCCTTCAACCCGGAGACAAGGTACACCCCAGAGGCCCCAGACGCACTCTGCAGATCTTATTTGGGGACTGCGTGTGCAAATGGGCCTTCCAGAGGGTGGAAGCAAGACCAGAGGGGCTTTGGCTGCCCAAGATCAAGGCACTCATCCCAAAGCAAGCACAAGTTTGCTCGGTTTGTCTCTAGGCATGAAGGGATAGAATTCTTTCTTAGACCCATTCTCCTGATTTATGCTGGGGAAAACGTATATGGCACATCTAAGGCTAATTTCAATTATGACTAATTAATATAAATCAAAGATATAAAAATATATAAATAAAATAAATAAAAACAAATTTTTTCATGCCAAGGCTATAAATGTTATGTGTAAATGTGACTAGTCCCTGGCTGTTCCAGTGCTGAAATTTCATGCTGGACATTTTTCTTTTCCAGGGGAATCTCACTGCCTGTCTAGTGTAAGGGCAGACAAGAAAAGACAACTGCTCATTTCTTCTAAACACAGTAATGTTCTGGATAGTTTCTTTACCTGGATGGATAGAAACTTATTTTTGCCCTTTTTTTTAACTTGATTTTTTGCCAGAATTGGGTTGTAGCCTTCAGGGCTTTTGAGAATCACTTCGATTTCATAAATGCTTTTCAAATTATCTATTTATTTTCCTGGGAGATTTGTTTTACTTTTTAATTTTTTTTTAAATTTTATTTATTTATTTTTTCCCCCAAAGCCCCAGTAGATAGTTGTATGTCATAGTTGCACATCCTTCTAGTTGCTGTATGTGGGACGTGGCCTCAGCATGGCCGGAGAAGCGGTGCGTCGGTGCGCGCCAGGGATCCAAACCCGGGCCGCCAGCAGCGGAGCGCGCGCACTTAACTGCTAAGCCACGGGGCCAGCCCCATGTTTTACTTTTTAGTATACAACTTTTCAAACATGCACAGAGTAGAGAGAATAGTATAATAAACCCACATGTACCCATCACCCTGCTTCAACTATTACCGTTGTTTTGGCAATTCATTAACATTGTAAAAATTTTTATAAACTTTTTAATTGAATTATGTACATAAGAAAAGCACACATTTGATAGGGCAAGCCTGATGGATTTTCACAAGTTCAACATGCCTGTGTAATCTGGGTTACAAAATATAACATTTTCCAGGACACCAAAAACCCTCCTCCTGCGCTCCCAAAATACTACCCCGGCCTTCAAGGGTAACCACTGCCCAGGTTTCTAACAGCTTAGATCACTTTTGCATGTTTTTGTATTTTTTTTTTTTTTTTTAAGATTTTAGTTATTTATTTATTTTTCCCCCCAAAGCCCCAGTAGATAGTTGTATGTCTTAGCTGCACATCCTTCTAGTTGCTGTATGTGGGACTCGGCCTCAGCATGGCTGGAGAAGCGGTGCCTCGGTGCGCGCCCGGGATCCGAACCCGGGCCGCCAGCAGCGGAGTGCGCGCACTTACCCGCCAAGCCACGGGGCCGACCCTGTTTTTGTATTTTTATGTAGGTGGAATCATACAGTATGAGTAGGAGCTAATTGAAGAGCATTTATAAACGCCTACTGTATACCCACGCACTGTGTTAGGCTCTAAGGGCAAGGTTAGTAGGGTCCCGTACTTGGCAGCATTTTGGTCTCTAGAGTGGCTCTTAGTAAAATGGGGATAAGATTAGGACCTGGCTCACAGGGTGTCTGAGGGGAAATGAGATCATGCAGGTGCAGTTTGTGGCACAGAGCCTCAGTGGCCAGTGCTCCTTCAGTCTAGTTCATGGCTATTTGGGGTGAGTGCCTTCGGTTAGAAGGATTATCTACTTTTCTTGGCTCAGATAAAAATGTGTTTCCTTGATTAAGATCTGAGTGGCTGAATGGAAGCCAGTGAGTTTGTGCCAAGGGCCAACCTTGTTGGTCCAGTGGGCAGAATGAGGTCCAGTGGGCAGAATGAGAAAAAATAATCTCAAATCCATTCACAATTCCTTTTCCAAAGTAGGAATGGTATCCTCTTCCTTGAGAGTAGGAGAAAATAACAGGGACTGGTTAAGGTATTTATTTATGGGCTCAAACCAAATCAGTAGGTCAACTGAAATTAGAAGTCTAATGCTCTGATTTCACCTTTTTGGGGTCCAGATGCCCTTCTCCCTTGCAGAAAAATGCATGGAGCCTACACAGAGAACTTTGGATCCAGTTTTGGGGGATTCACTCTTGGCCTTCAGATTTAGAACTCCTGAATCAATGTGTCTGTTCTGAGGTGTTCAAAGCATAATGTAATCTGACACATTCATCTGTTAATTCATTTAGCATATATTTCTTATAATGTGAAGGCAGTGTGCTAGATGCTGAGGACTGTATCAAGGTAGAGAAGCTGCTGTCCTAACCTCAAACGGACTTACGATCTTGTAGATGTTTTAGGAGAATTATACGAACACAAGTAACAAGACTCACAATGTGGTAATTGTTTAAGTCTGGTACAAATACAGGCCCTGGAGGGCTTGGACAGATGAGGGCTTACATCCCTCCTGTGTTTGGACGGAGCTGGACCTTAATACATTCAGGAAACAGTAGTTATTTGATGACTGCTGTTTGCAAGGCATTAAGGAGTACACATTGAATCCATTGTTGCTCCAGATCAGTGGGATTTCTTAAAATTATTTTAACCACTTAAGCTATATGTGATCATTGTAGAAAAATTAGAAGATACAGGTAAACACATATTTTAAAGATCACCCATTTGTGGTACGTACATTCTACGTATGTTCTGTAATGTCCCATTTTACGTATATGCACTGAATCATTTAACTGATCCTTTATGGGTGGGTGGGATTTCAGTAGGCAGAGATAGGAGGGTTTTCAAACAAGCATCCGTTCTTTAGTGTTTCTGCCCTACTCTCAAGTCTTAAGCATATTTGGTATAGGAGTCTTTTATTAAAATTAAGATTCCTTGGCAAAGAAGCTTAAGGTCAAACTCTGGAAAATTTGCTTGATGAGAAAAATGCAAGAGTTAAGTTTATGGAGTAGAAATGAACTTTGGAAAACTTCATGAAAATATTTGGAGTGAGTATTGAGATTGAGAGAGAAGAGGAGATGACTGATCCTTCACGATAGGCTTCCAAGGAAAGGGACTGCTGTGAAGTTGGGTTTGGCTTTTGGTAGCACTGAGAGAAAAGCAAATTTGTACCACACTTTCGCCAATAAGGTAGAAGAGCTCTTGAGAACTTGTACTACATTCAGTGGGTTCTTAACTTTTTGAGCCATTGACTGCTTTGGCAATCTGGTGAAGCCCGTGGACCCCTTCTTTGAATAGTGTTTTTAAATGCATAAAACAGTGTTTAGTGTTACAAAGGAAACCAGCTATATTGAAGCACAGTTCTGTAAGGTGGAGCATCCCCGACTAAAGGCCCTCTGCCATGTTTGGAGCCCTGTAGACCCAGTGATGTAGTGGGCATTTAATCCCATCTTGTCAAATTATGTGAATTGAGATTGTACTTTCTTAAACAACTGAGATAAGCTCTGACAGGATGGTAGCATGTATTCTGCCTTGTCTTTTATGAAAAACAGTTTTTATCATGCAGTTTATAGGTGTTGAGTAGTCAGGGAGGGCACTATGAATAGGATTGTGGGACTTTTTTTGTGACTCTTATTTTTGTGGAATGATCTCTTTACAGAAGAAAGATCTCTCAGATCCTTTTAATGACGAAGAAAAGGAAAGGCATAAAGTGGAGGTGCTTGCCCGGAAATTTGAAGAAAAATATGTAAGATTTCTCTCTTGGGCAGCAAAACAACCTTGTTGGGTAGGAGAGGTTTCCAGACATTTCTGTATTCCTTTAGTGGATTGTCATCTGATCAACATCGATGTGAAAGCAAATGTGAGCTTGGAGAGAACAGAATGCAATTATTAAACAAGTGTGTTAAAGTACAGAAAATGCGTGTGGCAGGAACTAGTGTGTGGACTTAAATGGACAAATGAACAAGAAGGGCCTTTTACTCCTAGAATTTATCCTTAGAATTAATATTGATACAAACAAATGTTTGATACAAAGCATACGAAGCCATTTAATTTCTTCTTCTGTTTTAGGCCATTAAATGCAGATATAAATCTGTTCTATTTTTAAAGGTCTTCAGGGAAGGAGGTTTTGGTGTGTGTGTGTGACTGTGACTGTTCCAGTGCTTTTTACAGCCTTCAGTCACTGGCTGATGGAGTTCAAGGCTACAGTAACTCTGTGTATCAAAAAAAAGCACGTGACCTTAGACTTCAAAAATTGTTGAGAGTTCTTACCACACAATTTAAAAAAAAAAAAGCATATGACATATTGCTTTCAAATTTCAGGGTGGAAAGAAACGTAGGAAAGACCGAATACAGGACTTGATTGATATGGGGTATGGTTATGATGAGTCTGATTCCTTCATCGACAACTCTGAGGCGGTAAGTGTTAAGGAAAAGGTGGATTCAGAACCACCACACCCTAGCTTCTACTGAGAGGGTCCCAGAGGTGGGGTTGGGGTCAGAGTGGGCATGCCCTCAGCATGCGGAAGGAGTGCACTGAGGAGAGGAAGTGACAGCCTGGACCTGGGCCTTGGTGCCTTCACTGAAAACGATGACCAGATCTGTCCAAAGCACCTGCTAGCTCAGACGTTCCTGATTGACCAGAAGCATGTCTTAGCATGCCGTCTGAAATGTGACAGAGAAACAGAGGCATATCTGCTCTGTCAAGACCTACTCTGCACCCTTGGGCTGTAGGTAGTCCCAGAACCTGGAGCTGAACGTTTGTTTTCCCCCTTCAGTATGATGAGCTTGTTCCTGCTTCTCTGACTACAAAGTATGGAGGATTTTACATTAACTCGGGAACCCTGCAGTTTAGACAAGCATCAGAATCTGAGGATGACTTCATTAAAGAAAAGAAGAAAAAATCTCCAAAGGTTAGAACAATGCTCGCTTTTAGATTTCAGAAGTGCTTTTTTGTGTGACCTTATAAGATCAGTAGGTGACTTGCCAGGAGCTGTGCCGGTTTAGGAGGCTGGCGGAAAGGCGTGAGCTGTGCCGGGGTTGACAGTTCACTTCTCACACCCATGCCGTGGCGAGGTGCCGTGAGCCTGGAGGTCTCGGTTGTTGTGTCCATGCCTGTGTCCCAGCAGGCTTGGCAGGGATTCATTTCATGAGGTGGTCTCAGGGCGGGGATGAGGGCAGTGAAGGGAGTTTGCACCAGCCTTGCTGTGTCTCTTCTGTGGACATGTAGAGGACTTCAGTTCCCAGGGCTGTCATCCCAGCAAAAACAAGTTGGCCTTAAGATAAGTTTATTTGAAAATCTGTCTACACTGCCTGTGTTTAAAACAAGAGGTAGGACCCACATACAGCTCAGTTCAAACTAGAAAGGTATCAGGCTGCAGAATGGCCTCTGTCGCTTCAGCCCCGGTGTTTCCAGGAGACACTGTCAGTGCTGTATTGACCTGCTGCAGGTCTGTGGCCCAGGGACCGATCTGAAAGCTTGTGTTCCTGAAGGCAGTAAGACAGCTCTCAGGATGTACCCCGGGCGGAGCAAGGCCAGTGCTGTGTAGTGCACTTGCTCCCAGAGTTAGGGAGCCGTGTAACTGTGCCTTGTCTTTAATTCTCAGAAGCGGAAGTTGAAGGAAGGTGGTGAGAAGATAAAGAAGAAGAAAAAAGATGACACTTATGACAAGGAGAAGAAATCGAAAAAGTCCAAGTTTTCCAAAGCCGGGTGAGAGGCAGCAGCTTCTTTGCTAGGATAAGATCTGAACTGTTAGGGCAGGACACCTGGGAGCTGACTCGCCCTCCTCCTCACAGCTTCAGAAGAGGCAGCAGGGCTTGGCCTTCCCTTCCCCTCACGCCTCCCACAGTGCCATTGTGGGCATAGTCAGTGCTCTCACATCTCTGTGTGTCAGACATCCAGAGCTCTCTGTCCCACTGTCAGTGTTGGCAGCTATTTCTGTCCCTGTATGATTGCTGATGTCTCTCGTTCTCTTGGGCACCCCTCCTCTGCCCCAGTTCTCCTTCTGTCTCTGTTTCTCTTTGTCTTCTCTGGTCCTGCTTCCTTTGCCTCACTCAGTCTCACCCCAGCTGCCCTTCAAGTTGCTGCTGCTCTCTGCTGCTCCTGCTTTCTCCCTTTAAATATTTTTCTGCCCCACCCCCCCGTTTTGCAACCTTTTATTTCAGCCTGGCAGTGGTTTTAAAAACCTATCGGATATTTAGCATTTTGTGACACCGTTTTGCTAACCTGTATTAAATCTCAAGCTTTGGTCCCATCAAGAAGGAGCTCCATATGCCAAGAGGAGGGAGGAGGAATAACAGGGTGGACTTGTGACTGAGGTTCCTGGAGACCATTGCGCTGGGAGCAGGGATGAAGTCCCTCTGTGAGTTTCCGTTTTGAAGTGGGCTGCAGCCTTAGTAACCAATTTCCCCCTTGTTTGCAGCTTCACAGCCCTCAATGCCAGTAAGGAGAAGAAGAAAAAGAAGTATTCTGGGGCTTTGAGCGTGAAAGAGATGTTAAAGAAATTTCAGAAGGAGAAGGAGGCTCAGAGAAAGAGGGATGAAGAGCATAAGCCTGTGGCGGTCTCATCGGCAGAAGCTCAGGGCCTACGGGAATTGGAGGGTGCCTCTGACCCCTTGCTCTCGCTCTTCGGCTCCGCATCTGACAACGACTTGCTCCAGGCAGCCACTGCCATGGACTCCCTGACTGATTTGGACTTGGAGCAGCTGCTCAGTGAGTCTCCAGAAGGAAGCCCCTTCCGTGATATGGATGATGAAAGCGATTCCCTTGGGGTGGGACTGGACCAGGAATTCAGGCAGCCCTCTTCCCTCCCTGAAGGCCTGCCCGCACCCCTGGAGAAGCGCATTAAGGAGCTGGCTCAGGTATGGTGACACAGAGTGGCCGGGCTTTCCTGGAAGCGGTTTGGGCAGATTGATGCTGGTTCCACACCGTATGAAGCTTGCTGCCCAGAGCAACCCTTAGTGAGTTGGCAGTTGCAGTGTAAGCTTTTCCAAGCTGTCTTCTCATCTCGAGTGAGTAAACAGTGTAAGCTCCGCCTGTCAGGCATCATTTTAGGCCTTTTGTGGTTCCTTCACTACTGGAAAATTTACTTCCTTCTGGGGAGATTTTCTCTTTTTCCATTTTCTGCCTGTCAGTTCCTTTCCCACAGAGTATCTTTCCTTTTGTGTGATAGACTGACACTAATGTTGGCAGCAGGCAGCTGAGGCAGAGGTCCATCTTTTTAGTAATCTTTTGAAGGTTTTGAAAATTCACGATTATTTGCAGACGTATATCACACATACTGTATATCCTTAATTGCCACTGGGTTTCAGTTGCTGCCTAGACTTGCACATCATCAGTGTTAGGTAGTGATTACAGGAATACCTAAATTGTGATAAATAAAAAGGAGCTGAACCCTAAATGCTATTCATGCCCCATTAAAAATAGTGACAGTCTTTAGAATATAGCAGCCATTGCTGCTCTTTTCCCCCGCGAGTGGGAATTGATCCCCAGAGCGCTAAGAACTGACAATTTAGTAATGTATTACTGACTATAAACCAAGCACAGATCATTAGTTATGATGACTTTTACCTTTTAGTTAAAATAACGTTTTGCCTTGGGCATCATGACTTGTAACGCAACTCCAATGGCATTTATACTCTATAGCTGTAAGTTTTAAACCAGTGATTCTCATAGTGGTTCAGAATCACTGTTACGTATAATATCCCTCATGTTTTAGGGCAGGGTAAAATATTAACCACTGCTACAAATGATTTTCTCACTTCCAAAAAATACTTGAACACAACATATGAAGTACATTGAACATCTTATTCAGATCTCTAGTTCATCCTCGTTAGCCTGTGTGCAGTGTTGGATATAAATATTTTATTTGAATGTAACAATTTCAATGAATTGTACCACATCAGGGATTCAGAGTATATCTTAATAGGACGTTAGGGTGGAAGAAGTTGAATCTGAACGTGGCATGTTTGAGCATACTGTCCTGTGTTTGCTCTCAGAATTTATGTTAAAAAAACATTACTCTTTGTTCTTTTCGGGTTTGTAATCAAATTGTTTTGTAGCTTCTGAAAGTCTTGTTAAGTAAGTTGAGTAAGGTATATGTGGCAGTAGCCAGTCATTTTTTAGAGACAAGTCAAAACAATTCTTGGATGTGTCCCTACTCCCACCATAGGTTGTGTCTGTCTGATAACTTAAACTCATTATTTCACTTTTTTGGGAAAGATGGACAAATTTAGTGGAAACAAAGTGGTATAACACAAAACAGTGTGGAGTTGTGATCCAAGAAAGCCTTACTTTCTGGAGTCCACTGGGTGGACACTAAGCAAGCTGTCCTTAGTGATTGCCAAGTCTTGGTTATCTCTTGGGCACAATGGAGACAGGGTTCAGGATCCCATAGATAAGGTGGGGTTGGGTCCTGGTAGAGAGGTGGTCATCAGAAGAGATTGATGTACTGGCTTCGAAATACAGTGTTCAAATGTGAAATCGATACTTAGTTATCTCTGGCCCTTCTCTAACAGCATCAAACTATGGGAGGTGGATGGAAAGTGGAAATTATCCATCATCCCGCCAATCTGAAAGCTATTTTCAATTTCCATATTCATTTCTAGCCTCTGTGTATATGTTTTTATGCAGTTGTAATTATAGTTGTGAATAATTGTTTTCTGGTTTCTTCACTTAATAAATATTATTATAAAGCCCTCATTACTTTTAATGTTGCATGAAAAAGAAGGCTTATTTTAGAAAGTTACTTAATGCCACTCCAAAGGATCCCCAGGTGCTCTGTTCCCACCAGAGCCCTGCACTTGGGGCTCTGGGAGCCTCTCCATGTGTGCACGAGTGCACCTGACCCAGACCCTACTGAGAATCTGCTGGGAAAGATATTCTTCCCAGGGGAAAACTGCCTATGTATACAAAAATTGCATATAATTTCAAAAGCCATATGTGGATATTTGGATCTTTAATGAGGAGCCCTGCCCGAGATCTTGAACTGGACATTGCATTTTTAAAATTTAAATTAAACTTGATGTACATACCTTTAACATTAACAGTGTTATGTGTTTCTCACTTTATTTTTCACTCACCTTTTTCTTTTTTTCCCCTCTTATTTCCTTTATTTTTATAATGTTTGTCTAGATATTAAATCTTGGCCCTAAATGATACGTGTATCAGTTTCTACTGTTACCTAAAAAACTACCCCAAAACTTAGTGGCTTCAAACAGTGATTCTCCTTTCTCCTGATTCTGTGGGTTGGCTGGGCAGTTCCTTTTCTGGTCCTGTCTGGGCTTGCTCTTGTGGCTGCATTCAGCTGGCACGATGGCTGGGCACTGGGACAGCTGGGATGGCCGGGGTGGCAGTGCCTTTCCCTTGTCTGGTCTTTCATCTGGGGCTTCTTCAGGGCATGGCAGTCTCAGAGCAACATTTCAAGAGGGTGAAGGTGGAAGCAGTAAGGCCCTTAAGATCTAGCCTTAGAAGTTGCATGTACCACATCACTTCTGCCACACTTACCCTGTTGGTAGAGTGAGTCACAGGTGCAAACCAGATTTGAGGGTTGGGGAGCTAGTGGCCACCTCTCCGTGAGGGAATGCATGTACCTGGAGGGATGGAATCTGTGGTCCTGTTGGCAGTCTACCACAGTACATAAGCAGATTCTAATCTGATGTATATTGATCCCTTAGGGACAAATTTTTGCTGTGGGGAGGAAAAATTAGATTTGTCTTCTAATTGGATGTGATACTTAAAATTTTTAAAAATATATTTAAAAACTTACATATGTTAAAGAGATACTCCAAGAAGGTGACTGTGGTGGATGCCCAAGCAATGTTTACTGTTTTCTTCTCACATTAGCCCAGTTTTTGTTTCTCACTCCCTTGTGCTGTACCTGTTTACAGGCCCGAGGGAATCCAGTGATTTGGTTTGACGGCCTTACCCTGTCTTGTCTTCATAGATGTTGATTGTGTCTTTTGTCTAGGTGGAAAGCTCAGGTGTGTCGCCCCCTCAGGTTACTGTCTCGATGTAGTTTGGCAGCTACTCAGCCTGGTCCCTACAGATGACCCAGGTCTGTTTTTGTCCTCTTCAGTCAAGCGTAAAATGGGAACAATACCTAGAATAGAGAAGAAACAGAGACCTCATGTCACCCACCCCTCTGCTCTCCCCGCTCACTACTTACCCTCCTGTAGAGTTAGAACCCTTATATCGCAAATCCAGGGAGACATGGATCCAAGGAGAATAAGGTCAAAAAAAACTAACCTGTTTGATCTTTTTTAAAAAGAAAATCATGCCAGATTTCATTCTGTTTAGCAAAAACAGGTACAGTATATAAGGTTCTGATCTAGGTGCTGAAAGGCTACAAGTGGCTTTTCTTATAATAAATCAGCTCATTAAAGGCTATTGGAATTATTCTAAATCAACATGATCAGGCTGTTTGGTTTAACTTCATTTCCTAGTTAATCTAGGATTGATCAATTTATACAACTCCCTGGGCAAGGGTATCTCTTCTTAGGGGTGAGAGACTTCACTTATTTCTGGAAGACTATCAGATATATATCTAATTGGTCTTTTAATTAGATTTATTTAAAAATGCAGCACTCTGATTGTCTTGTATAAAACTAGACCCTCAGAGATACTGTCTCCACAATTCAAAAGGCATCAAGAAAGAAAATCTTGGGGCCAGGCCGGTGGCGCAAGTGGTTAAGTGTGTGCACTCCGCTGCGGCGGCCTGGGGTTCACTGGTTCGGATCCCGGGTGCACACTGATGCACTGCTTGGCAAGCCATGCTGTGGAGGCATCCCATATAAAGTGGAGGAAGATGGGCATGGATGATAGTCCAGGGCCGTCTTCCTCAGCAAAAAAAGAGCAGGCTTGGTAGATGTTAGCACAGGGCTGATCTCCTCACAAAAAAAAAAAAAAGAAAATCTTTTAAAAAATTATGTAGCTAGAAAGCTTCTGAAATATTGGAGAAACGGCTAATATCTAAAAATAAAATTTGATTGGAAACCTAAGGTGTTGATGGGTCTGACAAACAGTGGGGCATTTGAAATATGTGTTAAAATTAGATTGAATTAATATGAAGGTGTTTCTGGATCTTATAACTAGCAGTGTATAAGCTTAAGAAAAAGAATGACTTAGTTCTATTTTCTTTTTCTTTTTTTTTTAAAGATTTTATTTATTTATTTATTTTCCCCCCAAAGCCCCAGCAGATAGTTGTATGTCATAGCTGCACATCCTTCTAGTTGCTGTATGTGGGACGCGGCCTCCGCATGGCCGGAGAAGCAGTGCCTCGTGCGCGCCCGGGATCCGAACCCGGCCCGCCAGCAGCGGAGCACGCGCACTTAACCGCTAAGCCACGGGGCCGGCCCAACTTAGTTCTATTTTTTCTCAAACTAAAATCATACTTCCAGTACATTAAAAGTGCCCAGGTAGAATTCTGAATCCTTGTGAAAGTATAAGAAATTGGCAGATGAATGGATTAAAAGTCACTGCCCTTTTTTTCTTCCATTTCTGTCCGTCCATTTCACCCACTTTCATCTCAGGCCTCTGCCCTCTCCTCTAGCCAAGGGATCTGCAGAAGCTTGAGTTTTGCACATCCTCTGCAAGTTCTGTTTGCTTGTTCAGTACTAAGCTTTTCCTCCTCTAGTTTGCATTTTTTCAGTGATACCTGTTGGTTTGTTTGTTCATCCATTCACTCAGCCGACATTTACTGAGCATCTATTATAGTGATAGCAGCTGTGGGGAATGTATTGATGAATGAGATTCAGTTGTTGTTCTCCATGAGCTTGTTATATAAATGGGCCAACTGTCAACAATTGACTTTAGGACAAAGCAGAATAAAACAAGCTCTGTGCTGTTTGGATGGCCAGGTAGATGGTCAGGCAGACAGTTAGACTTAAGGAGGTAAAAGAAGTTCTGTGGGGGTACATAGGAATCGGACTGGGAGCAGCAAACAGGCTTGGCCAGCCTCATGGGAAAGGTGGTCTTACAGTAAGCCAGGGCACAGAGCTGAGGATGGGCTAGTTGCTGGATGATAGGGACCCCGGTGGAATGTGGGGCGAGATGGGAGCTGGAGTGGATCGCTGGGGCCAGATCCTGGAGGACCCTAAATGCCACATGAAGGAGTTTGTGTATGATTCTAGACTTGGAAAGAGCTGCTGAAGGGTTCTAAAGAAGGGAGTAGAAGGATTTAAGAAGGATAGAATGCTGTTTTTAGAATACAGAGGAAGAGCAGAAACCAGTGGGTTTTGTCTTGGACAAGTTGAGTTTGCATACCAGAGGGTCATTCATTCATAGAAGTAATTGGGAATTCTGATACAGAGCTTAGAAAAGAAGGTTTAGGGCTAGGGTTTAGATTTGAGAGACCTACGTGTGCATATGTTATTTTAAAGCTGTGAAGGGAAGACATTGCTGAGAGAAGTGGGTTCTAGATAGAACCTTGCAAGTCCATCTGTAGTTAAGGAGCTGGTGGAGGAGACAGAGATGGAGTAGTCAGAGGTAGGAGGAACACCCAGAGGATGCGATGAGAGGAGGCAAGTGGGGCGAGATGAAGATGGAGGGTGGTTGTTAGTGCCTGCTGTTTCAGAGGGGTGGATCAGGATTAGTCATTTTGTGGTAGACACTCACCTTATTGCCTTTGTTTGCCATCATTATTATATATCAAGCCTGAAATTTTATTTTGCATAAAGCCTTTGGACCAGCAACTCTTGGGTTTAGATTAGTGGTCCTTGATCTTCTGCACATTAGAGTCACCAGAGTTACTTTTAAAGAGCACTGATACTTGGGTAAACTCTTTTAAAGAGTACAGATTCCTGGGCCTCGTGCCCAGAGATTCTGATGTGCTTGGTCTAGGGTGGGGAAGCTGCCAGATAATTCCAGTGTGCAGTCAAATAGGAGAAGCACTGGGTCAGACTTCTGCGGAGTTTGCTTTCCTCACTCATGCACTCAGTGCCTGGGCTGCCTGCTGTGGTTGCTTCAGGCTCTCCAGCTTGCCCTCTGGGGTATTATCTGTGTTCTCATGGGAAGCCAAACCCTGTAACCTGCTGTATCTCGTGTTAATAGGTAGCAAGGTATGTTAGTCATTCCAATGGTCTGGGTAGTAGAGTTTGTGATATACCAAAGTAAATTATAAATTTTCAAAGAATTATAATGTGCTTAAATGCTAAAGCAGCACATTATCATCATCATCATCATCATCATCATCAGAATTATTATTATTATTTTGGTGGATAAAGGCCTTCAAATCTTGCAGGTTTGTTAAAGTTCTTGATTGTTTTTATATGGTAGAGGTATGGAAATTCCAACTCACAGTTTAGATGGTGGAGTGCTGGGCATGGAGTTAGCTAGCTGGCCAAATCAAATGCATCGTGATTGCTTTGACTCTGTGGTCTTCTTTTATGTGACTGCTGTTTCAAGTCCTGGGAAGAACGGATGGTCCCTACATGCTTCAGCAGCATTTGAAAAGAGCTGGATCTACCATTTCTGGAGCATATAGTGATTATAGATGCGCTTAATCTGGGGTTAGGGCTGAATAGGGAAGGGCACAGTGAGGATTTCATCGACAGGTGTTCTGTAGGGACTGACTGCTCTTGTGCCTGTGGGTGAGTGTGAGGGCCGTGTGGGGAAAGGGCACTAATGGATGTTACTGTCTGCTGTGAACCAGGCTGCCAGAGCTGCTGAGGGAGAGAGCAGACAGAAGTTCTTCACCCAGGATATTAATGGCATCCTCTTAGAGTGAGTATCTTTTGTTCTTTGTATCTGCTGTTACCCAGCCTGGGTTGAGCACGCCAGGGGAAATGGGAGTATGATTGAACTGCATAAAGGTGACCACCGATGAGATAAAAAAAAATTGGGTTTTATTGTTGTTATTCTTTTTTAAAAGGTGGGAGGATGACACCAAATGTTTGTCTCTAGGAAATGATAGACCTTACTAGTCTTTAGGCAGCAGACGTTATTAGAACACTGTATATGATAGTCATGGCCTGTTGGAAGAGGATTTCTTGGCAAGTAAGAGAAGAGATGAGAGAGAAAGTGTTGCTTGCCCTTCTCTGAGAAAAGTAGGAGACAACTTGGTACAGCCCAGAGCCCTGCTCTCCTGGGGTACTCCTCAGCGTACCTGGTCAGTCTCCTCTTGCTCTCACTTCTGCTCCCACAGCCAGTGCACATCATTCTGTAACACTTCTCCCAAACACTTGAGCCTCTGAGATGCCACACTGTACGAATTGGATTAAAAAGCAAAAAACCCCACACATATAAATCCAAACTAGATTCTTTGTATCTGGCCCTCCAGCTTTGCCAGCTTCTCTCCCACTTGCATTATGCAGCAGAGGAAGCTTGTTGCTCAACAACTGGGGAGTTTTGCACACGTAAGAACAGTGTTAAGACTTGAGAATATTCTAGCAAAGGACCTTCCCTGGCCAGGATCGGGATTGGTCCCTGGCCAGGATCGGGATTGGCCACATGGGTCAGGATCCTGGGCTGTAGAGAGCACGTGAGGGTCAGCACAGCTGAGAGGCTTGTGTCGACAACACCTACTGGAACGTGCCAAATCCGGAGAGCTCAAGGATTGAGGATAAATGTTGTTCTGCTCATCTAGACGGGGACCCTGGAGGGATCAGGATTTCCCTGACAACCTAATCAGGGATAGAACTGGGAGCTGGGAAAAAGAGGAAACAGTGCTGGAAAGTATTTCCTGTCGACCCCAAGTAACTTGGTTACTTTCCATTTTGAAAGCTTTTATGTTTTATTTATGAAATTTCGTACATCAGAGCGTGTTCTCTCAGGCTCTGTTTTCTTGACTACCTTTGCCTTGGTCTTATCTTTGATCTGAGAGCCTTGACCCACTTTACCTAGCCAAGTTCACAGGTGTGGAAGTTCTTGTGTGGTGACTGCTGGCCACTCAGTTACATTATGTCACTGATGAGGTAAGGTTTGACCTGCTCTTGGATCCTAGCTTTCCTCTCTGTGGTCAGGTGACCTAGTGACGAGAGAAGCTGCAGTGAGCTGCGAGCCATTGGTAACTCTGTTCTGTTCTTCAGCATAGAGGTGCAAACTCGGGAGCTGAGTGGCCAAATCCGTTCTGGGGTATATGCCTATCTTGCTTCATTCCTGCCCTGCAGCAAGGACACCCTGGTCAAACGTGCTCGAAAACTTCACCTCTATGAGCAGGTGAGTGCCTTTGGAGTGGGGCGCCTTGGCCTCAGGGGCCAGTGGAGGAGCAGGTGAATTTTCACAGATGCCACGTCTGTGGCTGCACTGCCTCCATGCGATTATTCCTGTAGTGTGTCCTCAGTATAAGAAGTCATGCATGAACCAGACTTACGGTATGTCCTGCTCTCTGCAGGGGGGGCGTCTGAAGGAGCCTCTCCAGAAGCTTAAGGAAGCCATTGGCAGGGCAATGCCAGAGCAGATGGCCAAGTACCAGGATGAATGCCAGGCACACACACAAGCCAAGGTTGCTAAGTAAGTGTGTCCCATCGCTCTCTCCAGTATTCTCACCTTCTTATCTTAGAAATCGCGGGGGTGGGGGGAACTTGTAGGGGGGAGGTGGTGGGCAGGCGTAAGCAGTTCTTCTTTGGTGACCTCAGGGTCCTATTTAATTCTCTTCACCCTGTAGGATGCTGGAAGAGGAGAAGGACAAGGAGCAGAGAGAGAGGATTTGTTCTGATGAGGAAGAAGATGAAGAAAAGGGGGGCAGGAGGATAATGGGACCCCGCAAGAAATTCCAGTGGAATGATGAAATCAGGTGTGCCCAAACTGGGACCTTGCCTCATTGGAGGGTTTGTGGGGCCAGTGTCTGAGCATGTTCCCGTATTTCTAATGAAGGTTAGAATCATTACTTTAATCAGGGCTGCTAAAGCACATGATTGAAACCTTAAGGAAGCATTTGGGGTAGTTTGAAGTTCCTGACTTCTGCCTACTCCTCAGGGAGCTGCTCTGCCACGTGGTGAAAATAAAACTGGAGAGCTATGACCTGGAGAGGAACAACAAGGCCCAGTCTTGGGAGGACTACGTGAAGGCGTTTCTGGATGCTGAGGTCAAACCTCTCTGGCCCAAAGGCTGGATGCAAGCCAGGTGAGGGCCCATGAGCAGCCAGTATGGTCAGTGTGAGGATGAGGTGGAGCGTTCTTGCAGAAAAGAAATAACTGAGTGCTTCCTTTGTGCCAACAGGGTCCTTTCCCTCAGGGAAGCACTGTCTAGTTGACTCTGATCTCACCTGAGTAGTCGTGGGGCACATTGGTCTCTAGGAACAGGTCTTCTCAGTCTTCCCTAGAAGAGGGAAGGTATCTGGGGGGTTTTGTGTTACTCTTTGTCCTACTTCAGTTCAAAGTTGGCCATGTGCTCTTCCCACCTCAGTTTGCCCTTTCCTGTTTGAGATGATGGCTCCTCCTAGAAGCTGGGAGACGGATTCTTCTTGGGAACATCTTAATGTTCCAAACAGAAATCTCATTTGCAATTAGCAGGGCAGACTACTTATTGGAGTTAGGTGCCAGACTTTTCTCATAGACCACTTTGTGTTACATAGCTTCCCATGAATGGACTACATCTGCAATATGCAGACAGAGAAAGTTTGCTGGAGCTAATGTTCTTTATTTATTTGTTTGTTTATTTTTGTGAGGAAGATCAGCCCTGAGCTAACATCCGTACCAATCCTCCTCTTTTTGCTGAGGAAGACTGGCTCTGAGCTAACATCTGTGCCCATTTTCCTCCACTTTACGTGGGACGCTGCCACAGCATGGCCTGATAAGTGGTGCATCGGTGTGCGCCCGGGATCCGAACCTGGGCTGCCAGCAGCGGAGCGCGTACACTTAACCGCTACGCCACGGGGCTGGCCCTGATGTTCTTCTTTTTAAAAAAATTTTTTATTGTGGTAAAATACACTTAACATAAAATTTACCTTCTTAACCATTTTGCGTAGTTCACTGGTTTTAAATACGTTGTGCAGCCATCACCACCATCCATCTTTATAACTCTTCATTTTGTAAAGCTAAAACTATATCCATTAAACAATAGCTCCACATTTCCCCCTCCCCGCAGATGCTAGCAACCACCATTCTTTCTGTCTATGATTTGGACTACTCTAAGTACCTCATATAAGTGGAATCATACAGTATTTGTCTTCGTGACTGGCTTACTTCAGTTAGCATAATATTCTCAGGGTTTATCCATGTTGTAGCATATTACAGAATTTCCTTCTTTTTTAAGGCTGAGTGATAGTCCATTGTGTGTATATACCACATTTTGCTTATCCATTCACCTGTCGATGGATACTTATGTTGCTTCCACATTTTAGCTTTTGCGAATGATGCTGCTACCTGTGAACATGGATGTACAAATATCTCTTTGACACCTTGCTTTCAGTTCTTTTGCGTATATAACCAGAAGTGGAATTGCTAGGTCATATGGTAATTCTATGTTTAATTTTTTGAGAAACCACCAATGTTTTCCACAGTGGCTGTTTTCATTTTACATTTCCATCAACAGTGCACCGGTTTCCAGTTTTTTCACATCTTCGCCAACACTTGTTTTTCTGTGTTTTTGACTGTAGCCATCCTAATGGGTGTGAGTTGGTGTCTCATTGTAGTTTTGATTCGCATTTCCCTAATGATTAGTGATTTTGAGCATCTTTCCATGTACTTATTGGCCACTTATATATCTTTGGAGAAATGTCTAGTTCTTTGCCCGGTTTTGAATTGGTTTGCTTGGTTTTTTTATTGTTGAGTTTTAGGAGTTCTCTGTATATTCTGGATATTAATCCCTTATCAGATAGATCATTTCCAAATATTTTCTCCCATCTTGTGGGTTGCTTTTTTACTCTGTGGATAGTGTCTTTCGATGCACAAAATTTTAAAATTTTTATGAAGTCCAGTTTTATTTTGTTTTGTTGCCTGTGCCTTTGGTGTCATATTCAAGAAATCATTGCTAAATCCAGTGTCATGATGCTTTTGATCATAATCATGATGTTTTCTTCAAAGAGTTTTATTGTTTTAGGGCCTACATTTAGGTCCTTGATCCACTTTTAGTTAATTTTTGTATATGGTATTAAGTAAGGGTCCAGCATCATTCTTTTGCCTGTGGATATCCAGTTTTCCCAGCACCATTTGTTGAAAAGACTTTCCTTTTCCCATTGAGTGGTCATGGCAGCCTTGTCAAAAATCATTTGACCATATAAGTGAGGGTTTATTTCTGGGCTCTCTGTTCTATTCCATTGGTCTATATGTCTGTCTTTCTGCCAATACCACACTGTTTTGATTACTGTAGCTTTGTAGGAAGTTTTAAAATCAGGAAGAGTGACTCTTCCAGCTTTGTTCTTCTTTTTCAAGATTGTTTTTGCTATTCAGGGTCCCTTAAGAGTCCATATGAATTTTAGGATGGGTTTTCTACTATTTCTACAAAAAAATATCATTGGGATTTTGATAGAGATTACATTGAATCTGTGGGTTGCTTTGGGTAATACATTTTAATATTGTCTTCCAGTCCATGAACATGGGATGTGTTTCTATTTATGTCTCTAATCAATGTTTTGTAATTTTCATTGTATAAGTTTTTCATGTCCTTGTTGAAGTTAATTCCTAAGTATTTTATTCTTTTTGATGCTATTGTGAATGGAATTATTTTTGTAATTTCCTTTTAGATTGTTCATTGTTTGTGTATAGAAATGCAACTGATTTTTATGTGTTGACTTTGTATCCTGCTACTTTGCTGAATTCATTTATTACTTCTAAAATTTTTTTTGGAAGCCTTAGTTTTCTACCTGTAAGATCATATCATCTGCAAACAGATCATTTTACTTCTTCCTTTCCAATTTAGATGCCTTTTGTTTCTTTTTGTTGCCTAATTGCTCTCTCTAGAACTTCCAGTACTATGTTGAATAAAAGTGGTGAAAGCAGGCATTCTTGCCTTGTTCTTGATCTTAGTGAAAAGGCTTTCAGTCTTTCACCATTGAGTATGATGTTCACTGTGGGTTTTTCATATATAGCTTTCATTTTGTGGAGGTAGTTTCCTTCTATTCATAGTTTGTTGAGTGTTTTATCATGAAAGGGTGTTGAAATTTGTTAGATGCTTTTTCTGCATCAATTGAGATGATCGTGTGGGTTTTTTCTTCATGCTGTTGATGTGGTGTTTTACATTGATCGATTTTCATACATTGAACCATCCTTGCATTCCAGGAATAAATCCCACTTGGTCATGGTGTATAATCCTTTTAATGTGCTGTTGAATTCTGTTTGCTACTATTTTGTTGAGGATTTTTGCATCAGTGTTGATAAGGGATATTGGTCTGTCGTTGTCTTTTCTTATAGCATCTTTCTCTTTGGTTATGCTGGCCTCATAGAATGAGTTTTGAAGTGTTGCCTCCTCTGCAGTTTTTTGGAAAAGTTTGAGAAGGACTGCTATTAGTTCTTTAAATGTTTGGTAGAATTCACCAGTGAAGATGTCAGGTCCAGAGTTTTTCTTTGTTGGGAGATTTTGGATTACTGATTCAATCTCCTACTAGTTATAGGTCTATTCAGATTTTCTATTTCTTCATGATTTCTTGGTAGGTTTTGTGTTTCTAGGAGTTTGTCCATTTTGATTAGGTTATCTAATCTGTTGGCATACAGTTGTTCAGAGTACTCTCTTAAAATCCTTTTTATTTCTGTAGAATCAGTAGTAATGTCCCCACTTTCATTTCTGATTTTGGTAATTTGAGTCTTCTCTCTTTTTTTCTTAGTCCGTCTAGCTAAAAGTTTGTCAATCTTGTTGATCTTTTTGAAGAACCAACTTTTGGTTTTATTGATTTTTCTCTATTGTTTATTCTCTATTTTGTTTATCTCTGCTCCAATCTTTATTATTTCCTTCCTTCTGGTAGCATTAGGGTTTGTTTGTTCTTCTTTTTCTAGTTCCTTAAGTTGTAAAGTTAGGCTGTTGATTTGAGATCTTATTTTTTAATGGAAGCATTTATAGCTGTAAATTTCCCTCTTAGCACCACTTTCACTACGTCTCATAAGTTTAGTATGTTGTGTTTTCATTTTCTTTCATCTTTTGAGTATTTTCTAATTTTCCTTGTGATTTCTTCTTCCAACTATTGATTGTTTAAAAGTTTACTGTTTAATTTTCACAATTTTGTTAGTTTTCCAGTTTTCCTTTTGTTATTTATTGATTTCTGACTTTATCCCATTGTGGTCAGAGAAGACACTTTGTATGATATCTGTCTTTTAAAATCTATTGAGACTTAGTGTGTGGCCTAACATACGGTCTATCCTGAGAAGTGTCCCATATGCATTTGAGAAGAATGTATATTCTGTTCGTGGGTAGAACGTGCTGTATCTGTCTGTTAGATCTAGTTGGTTTATTGTGTTAAGTCCTCTATTTCTCTATCTTCTATCTGGCTGTCCTGTCTATTTTTGTGAGAGGGGTATTGAAGTCTCCAACTATTATTGTAAAACTACTTCTCCCTTCAGTGCTCTCAGTTTTTGCTTCATACATTTTGGTGGCTTGTCAGGGGCATGAATGTTTATAATTGTTACATCTTCTTGCTGTATTGAACCTCTTGTTAATATATAATGTCCTTCTTTGTCTCTTATAACCTTTCTTGATTTAAAGTCTATTTTCAGTATAGCCACCCCTGCTCTCTTTTGGTTACTATTTGCATGGAATATCTTTTTGCATCCTTTCACTTTCAACCTGTTTTTGTCTTTGGATCTCAAGTGAGTCCCTTGTAGACAGCACGTATAGTTTGACAATGTGTTTTCAATCTATTTTGCCAATATCTGTCTTTTGATTAGAGAGTTGAATCCATTTACATTTAAAGTAATTACTGATAGAGGAGGGACTTACTTCTGTAAGTTGATTAACATACAAAATCTCTGCTCCCTTACAGCTCCATCCCCACCCCTTTTGGTTGTTGATGTTACAAAATTACATTTTTATACATTGTGGCCCAAAAACATAAACTAATAATTTTTTTAAGTGCATTTAAGAGATTTCTTAAATTACGTAGAGAACAAGATTTGGAGTTACAAACCAAAGTTACAGTAATACTAGCTTTTACACTAATTTTTTTTCTTTAAATGTATTAATCTCTTAAATCATGTAGGAAACAAAAAGTACAGTTACAGACCGTTGTTACAGTAGTACTAGCTTTTATATTACCTTTGTAATATAAAGGTAATATAACCTTTAATATATGAAGGTAATATAAAGGTAATAATATACACCTTTGCCCATGTATTTACCTTTTTGAGATCTTTATTTCTCCATAAAGAGTTTGGCTTTGAGTTACTGTCTGTTATTTAGCTTAAGTTCTCTTTGTTAAATTATTCTAGTTAAATCATTACGCAAAAGGTGTCCTTTTATTTCATACTGCAGGACTCCCGTGAGCGTTTCTTGCAGGGCATGTTTTTTGGTCACAAACGTCAGCTTTTATCTATCTGGGAATGTCTTAATTTCTCCCTTACTCTTGAAGGACAGTTTTGTCAGATATAGGATTCTTGGTTGACAATATTTTTCTTTTCGTACTTTGAATATATCAGCCCACTGTCTTCTGGCCTCCAAAGTTTCTGATGAGAAATCTGCTGATAATTTTATTGAAGATCACTTGTATGTGATGATTTGCTTTTCTCTTGATGCTTTCAAGATTCTCTCTTAGTCTCTGGCTTTTGAAAGTTTGATTATATTGTGTCTTGGTCTCTCTGAGTTCATCTTATGTGCAGTTCATGAGCTTCTTTGGTGTTTATATTTGTCTTTCACATCTCGGAAGTTTTCAGCCATTATTTCTTCCACTATTTTCTCTGCCCCTTTCTTTCTCTCTTATTCTTCTGGGACTTCCATGGTGTGTGGTGCATGTGTTGGTCCACTTGATGTTGTCCCATAGATTCCTTAGTCTCTGCTTTT